CCGTTTATTGTCAAAACAACTGCAATAGCACATTAAAGTTCTCCAATCAACAATACATGATTTTTGCAACCATGACCTACCATCCATCAATTAATAGAGTACCGGCATGTAAGTAATGTTTGTTTTGTTTTATTTATCTGCTCATTTATTAATTTATTACAATATAATATTACTACTTTATACCAATTGTGGGTCTTACCTTGTCTGTTAATACCTTTTATATATTCAAATTTATTCATTTTGAAAACCACAGACATGTAATATTGGCATAATTACTATAATTTGTATGAACTAACTTATTTGTTTATTTTATCTTTATTAGACACCACCCTAATTGGGTTTATTTTATTGCAGCATTAGTTTAACTTTGTATCTAGACCTGAAGATGCTTTGCAAATTGTAGAAAGCGAAACCGGTCGTCTGATTGTTAAATTAAATTGATTGTGAGTAAGTCTTATTATTATTTCTTTACCTATTTGATATGGACTCACACAAGCAACACATTCATGATTTTCCATTCCATGATTCCATAAATTGCTCATTTAATAAACTGTGAAACTATTTTCCCATCTTTTTATGACATCCTTTTCATGAATTAGTTTTTAATTATTTTCATGTCAGATACAACTAATCTGATTAAAATCTTTTGCTTTCTTTGCTCTCTGTGTAGCTTTATATCTTTGCTTCATTCTTGCATACATCTTTGCTAAGTGCTAATAATAAATTAGAGTTCTTTTTATTTATAAAATGACACAACAGTAGTATTTAATAAAAACTATTTTTATAGCACAATACAACTTTAAGAACAAAAAATTTTTGTTAGAATATCCTTTAAAACTTTTTCCATGCAGTTCAAAAAATATTATTAACTTATTAAGGATATATAATAGTTTTTATTTTTAAACTCTGTGATATACTGTATAATTGATAATCTTTAATTAATTTAAGTTTAGTGTTTATCTTCTTTTATTAGTTATAAATTACAATTATAATGCAATTATTCACTTAGAAAAAATAAGTTTCTCCTAACCAATTGTCCTTTGCTCATTTTTCCCAAAAATGTAATTACCCTCATCCAATATTTCAATAATTAACCCTATCAAATTGACAATTTATATTACGTCGTTATGGCATTGGTTATAATTAACACAAGTGTCAGTGACTTGCTTAAAAGTAAATTACTGTTGCAGATTCCCAACGTTTTTAGTTATTAAACTTCATTAATTGGGATTAGTATTTTAAATTCTTAGAAAATCTTGACTGAAAATTAACGAATTTTTTAATTGCCTTTTATTTCATCTATCCTCGCCGTAATTTTGTAAAAGGTCTCATTACTTGAACGTATTTATAATATTAAAAAAAGAGTCTGTCTGTCTTTTAAATGTCCATATTCAATTATTTATATATTATACCAATGTATAGCATCTTTTTTAAACAATGATTATATTTTATACTGCAAAAATTTGGTATATCTACAGTTTTAATTTGTTAATTACGATTTATGGCTATCTTATGGTCTCAGCTAATATTATTTAAAATATAATTGGAATTATCAACAGAATTTTATAGCAAATCTATATAATGAGTAACATAAAAATATTGTGTGGTTTTCCCAAGTACACGTAGTTAAACTAATTTTTTTTAAACACTCAAGTACAAAAAAAATCAACTACATTACTATATAAAATAACAAATGTTTTCTTTATCGCTTGTAAAACTGCCGCAATGTTTGGCTCCTTTTTACACACTTGTCTGTTGTTATAGACTTCGATAGACTGGTCATGTAGTGAGAATGGAGATTGGAAGATTGCCAAAAAGAGCTCTAGATAGTAAAATACACGACGCAAGACGAAAAGGGAAGGCTACGGACCCACAGGATTGGAGGCATAGTTTGGAGGAGGCCGAGGTTCGATTTGGGCTGTAGCGCAATTGGAGAGAATAGTTAGATTACATCTTAGCTCTCTTAAAAGAGAGGTAGCTCTCTTCTTTTAGGCTGTTTGGCTCGAACAGTTTCTAAATGAACCATGTCGGTGGATTCTGTCCTTCATAAAGGCACAGTCTTTCTAGGTGGATGACCTACGTCTTACTTCGTGGCGTTAGTTACATTCTGTATACAAGGTTGTTTATCTTAGTGACCAGGTATGGTTCCTCCCAGAGAAGCTGTAACTTTGGACATCTTTTAGGCCGCTGACATCCTCGGGGAGTGTCCCTTGCTTCGCCTTAATATCTAGTATATTGGCATGTAGGAGATCGATAGGAAGCTTCATCTCTCGACCAGTCAATAACATTGCTAAAGTGTAACCAGTTGCTTCATAAAGAGCTTCCGTAGGCTAGCAGAAACAGAGGCACCAGTTTGTCCCAGTCTCTCCGATTTTTATGTAAAAACAGAGTCAGCTAGTTGTTGATGGTCTCGGTATATCTTTATATCATGCCGTCGGACTGAGGATGAAGCGGTATCGTTCTGGCCTTCTTAATTCGCAGCAAAACCATATTGGTAAAGTGGAACCCCATGTCGCGAAATAACATTTTCAAGTAGAACCTCACTAACTATGATTGCTTCTTGGTTGGGTAGTGCAGCTACTGCTAGCCATTTGAAAAAATAGTACATAGCAGCCATCAAATACTTGTTTTCTGTTGTTGTTACTAGAAATGGTCCCAGAATGTTAACAGCCGCACACATGACTATCTTTAGATTTTGATGCTTTACATCTGGATCTTTCTTCTGCTTACGGACTAGCTTTAGATCTGGATCTTTTTTGTGCTCAGCCTGTAGGTTTTGCTTGATTAGAGTCTCTTCATTACTCCAGCCCTCTATGATTTTTAACTGTTGAATCTGGCCCTCTCTTTCTTGTTGGCGTTTGCAGAATCGGTAGTTGCATTCCTTATATGGTTTTCTCGAGAAGTTGTAGGCATTCCCACGACTGCTTTTTGCCCGGTGACTATTGTAAAGTCCATCGGCATCTAGACTGTCGCTGCTTAATCTTATTGTGAATACTGATAACCTAGGGCTGCGTTGCTGTGATGGTTCTGTCGATTTTTGTTCTCTGCTCTTACTTGTTGTCTGCAATGACGTTGATGGTGGGCTACCAATCGTGAGTTTTTCGTTTACCATTTAGCGGTTACAATTTTTTGAAAATTATCTTCTTCACAAATCCTGTGATAATATCAAATACAACAAAAAAGAATTATTTAATTTATTTTATTTAATCATTCAAATGTAGTCAACTTTAGTAGATGATAACAACGAAATAGTATCTAGTCCAGAAAATGTAGGAGATATGTGGGAAAAATACATCGAAGATCTGTTTGATGACGAGAGAACAGAACCACAAATGAATATAGTACAAGAAACAATACTTGATATATTAACATCGGAAGTTACAAAAACAATCAATACGGCAAAGCCACGAAAAGCCTCAGGTCCAGATGAAATATACGTAGAGATGATAAAGCTTATCAATGAAGAAAATCTTCAGACGTTAACAATATTATTTAACAAAATATATACCACTGGAATCTTCCCAGAAGACTGGCTTAGATCGACATTTATACCTATACCCAAGAAAAATAAAGCAAATAGATGCTCACAGTTCAGATTAATTAGCCTGATGAGCCATTTTCTGAAAATTTTACTCAAAATTGTACATCAACGAATATACAGAGAATGCGAAAGAAACCTGAGCGACAATCAATTTGGATTTCGTATGGGGCTTGGTACAAGGGAGGCATTATTTGGCCTCCAGATATTACTACAAAAATGCCGAGATCAGCGAAAAGACGTGTTTCTCTGTTTTATCGACTACGAAAAAGCGTTTGATCGAGTAAAACACACAGAACTCATAGAAACCCTAACACAACATGGTATAGACCATAACACTGTAGCACTTATTAAAAAACTATATTGGGATCAAATGGCGTCTATCAAAATAGACAATCGTCTGACAGCAGAATTGCCAATAAAAAGAGGAGTTCGTCAGGGCTGTGTACTTTCTCCACTGTTATTTAATATATATTCCGAAAAGATCTTTCAAAATGCCCTCGAAAATATTGAAGAAGGAATAAAAATCAACGGAGAATACGTAAACAACTTAAGATACGCAGACGACACCGTCATTATTGCGGACAGTGCTGAGGGTTTACAACGACTTTTGAATGTCATAACCAGAGAGGAGATAGCTTGGGACTAAATATAAACACAAATAAAACAAAAGTAATGGCTGTTACACGTGCACCAAATGTCGACATTAATATTCGTATCTATAACAAACATATAGAACCAGTACAAAGATTCCAGTATCTTGGTTGCTGGATAACAAACGATCTTGACCACGAGGTCGAAATACGTGCTCGTATAGAATATGCTAGGTCCGCATTTCAACGAATGAAAAAATTCCTAATAAACTCTACGTTATCGTTGGATATCCGATACCAATTTGTAAAAACGTTTATTTATTCCATATTGCTATACGGAGTGGAAACATGGACTCTCGGAATTACAAGTATGAGGCGTATAGAAGCCTTTGAGATGTGGGTTTTTCGAAGGATGCTGAAGATCTCTTGGACAGAGCACGTGACCAACAACGAGGTGCTAAGAAGAATGGGTACTGAGAGAGAACTCCTAAATATTGTAAAAAACAGAAAAACGAGTTATCTAGGACATATTTACAGAGGAGAAAAATACAACTTCCTACGACTTATAATGGAAGGGAAAGTGGAAGGAAGAAGAGGTCCAGGAAGAAGAAAATGCTCCTGGTTGAAGAATGTAAGAGACTGGACAGGTATGGACACACATTCGATACTAAGAACAGCTCAAGATAGAGAGCAATTTGCTGTAGTTATAGCCAACCTTCAGTAATGGAGAAGGCACCTTAGAAGAAGAAGAATCATTCAGATGCTATGCGCATACAAACATAACAAAGATTTATTTTTATTTATATGGATATTGAATTTATTAAATGTTTTAAGTATATTTAAATTGTAATTCTGATTTTCTGTTTTAGCTTCATCAAATGTATAAAGATCAGATTCAAAAGAAAATACCAAAGAACTTAGGAGAATGGTCTGAGTGGTCTCCATGGTCTTCATGTTCCAGAAGCTGCGGAGGTGGGGTTACTCAACAAACTAGGCATTGTATTCACCGGCCAGCAGATTCTAGGTAATTGTATAAAAATTATTAAGATTTCGTTTTAACTTTTATTTTGATTTTTAATTTAAAAAAATATACGTCAAAACACTATTATTAAAATTTAGATGATTATTTATTAGCAAAGAGAAGTCAAGCTTTTATATTGGTGGTGTATTACTTTTTCTCTATAGTAAATTACTGAGGCGAGCGTCACGGAAGTAGTGCTACGAAATAGCGTATTTTTCAATTTTATTAAAATCTATAACAAGGCTATTAACTAACAGCGGTTTTATTTAATAAATATAAATAAAGAAATGTAAATAAATAAATAATTAAATATGTTTTTATTCAAATTATTTATAGATTTTCTGTGTGTTTATTACAATTATATGCGTATTTTTCTTCCTTAGCCTTTCCCTTTTTAAAAGTTGCAGTTCCTCACTATTCATCGCCACATGTTTCTGTCTATTGGGTCTTCTTCGCCTAAACCTTTCTCTCTCAAGTCCTCTGCGACACAGTCCTTCCATCTTGTCCTCAGTTTTCCTGTACGTCTTCTTCCATCAACTTCTAACAGCTGTATCTTTGTCCCACATACTTTCCATTTTTACGTCTGACATGACCAAAGCATATTAGTCTTTGTTCTGGAATCTGTTTTAGAGACTGAAGTCACCCCTGCTCTTTCCCTAATTAAGTCGTTTCTGATCCTGTCCCTTTAAGTTTTACCAAATATCCACTTTAACATTTTCATTTCAGCCAGTTCCATCTTATTTTCCTGAATGTTCTTTACAAGTCACACTACACCATCAATGGTCTCACCACACTCTTGTATATCTTTCCTTTCAGCTTTTTCTCAATTTTTTGATCACAAAGTACCCCGGTCCTTTACTCCCGGTTAAACTAACCAGCTTGCATCCTGTGGGAAATTTCTCGATCTATTATCTCATTTTGCTGAGATTTTTCTGATTCCAAAGCTGTTCATTACTGTTCTTGAGTATGCATTTAAAAAAACTAACATGGCAACAGAAAGGAATATCCATCGATGGAGAAAGATTAAACCATCTACGTTTTGCGGACGATATCGTGCTTCTGTCAGATAATCTGGGAGAGATCAAAGACATGCTCCAAGAACTGAATGACATACTACAAGAAACTGGGCTGGAGATAAATTTCGAGAAAACCAAAATGATGACCAATATGGTTCCCAGCGAAGAGATACAGATCAATAACAACAAGGTAGAATTAATCGATAAATACACATACTTGGGTCATGAAATTAGAATAACCAGAGACAACCAAACCTGCGAGCTAAATAGACGAATCATGTTGGGATGGGCGGCATATGGACGGATGAGAGACATTTTTAAAACAAATATCCCAATTCACCTGAAAAGGAAGGCATTTAACCAATGCATCTTACCAGTCTTGACCTACGGAGCAGAGACCTTAACTTTAACGAAAGCTACTGCCGAAAAACTGAGGGTAACACAAAGGCGAATGGAGAGATCAATGCTGGGCCTGACCTTGAAAGATCGCGTAAGAAATGAGGAGATACGCCGACGAACTGGCGTAGACGATATTATACTGCGAATCAATAAACAAAAGTGGAGGTGGGCTGGACATGTTGCTAGAATGGAAGACGGAAGATGGACGAAGAGATTATTGGAGTGGAGACCAAGAGCCGACAAGCGAAGTCGAGGCAGACCACCCACCCGATGGACCGACGACCTAAGGAGAATAGAAACAAACTGGATTGCAGCAGCTAGAGATAGAGAGAACTGGAGACGTTTGGAGGAGGCCTATATCCAACAATGGATGTGAAAATTCGGCTGGATGATGATGATGATTATCTCATTTTCCGTTATGTAGAAGGCAAGGTATTGAAATTCTATAACTCGTCCTAGTTTTTCTTTAAACAATTCTATATCCGCAACCATTCCTGTTCCTTCTAACCACATATACTCTGTTTTCGATCTAATAACCTTAATTCCTCCCCTATTAATAGCCCTGTTTGAACACTCTAACTTTTCCACCAACATTTTTTGAAGCATACATCCATAACAAGATTAAATAGATAAATACTCAGTGAAGAGCCTTGATGCAAATCAACCGTCACTGGAAAACTTTTAGTCAATCGAAGAGCAGTCTTTACTTTGGTGTACGCCCCCTCATACATATCCGTCACAAGCCTTACGTACTTCTCAGGAGCCCATTTCTCTTTCATCTCCATAGCTTTTGTCTAGAAACTGTATTGTAACCCTTCTCAAGATCTTTGAATAATAAATGTAGCTCTCTTTTCCTCTTGCTATATTTCTCTACCAACTAGCTTAAAGCAAGCAAGACATCCGTTGTCCTCCTTCTTGGCATAAAATCAAACAGTTCTTCTTCTATCGATGTATCTCTCCTTAACCTTGGCTCTACAGTTCTCTTTTAAATTTTCATACACACCTCTCTCTCCATGCATTTTGCCTAGAGCCTTTCACCCTCCACAGGTATTTCATCAGGTGCTACTTCCTTACCATATTCATCTTATTTAACGCCTCGAAAACTTCATCTCTCGATATCCACGGTATTACATTCTCACTTAGTTGTGAAAAATTACTTATAATTATAGTAGTGTTTTTTGTGACAAGATATGTATTTTAAAACATTACCTTTAAACGCAACTAACTTGAAAACTACTTACTGTATCTCAATGAGACAAAAGAATGGTATTTACGTTATGATTATTACGACAGTGACGCAGATAACGTAGATTATGAGGAGAAAAGGATGTATCCATCCTTAAGCACACCTCTGGTAACATTTGTTGATAACAGTTTACTAACATCTGTAAACTGTTTGTTAAATTTGAACAAAAATTATTGGAATGTGTTAAAGCAATGAGCTAAAATCATTTTAGGATATTTGTAATAAAACACTTTCTATCTCAGTAAGGAGGAATATTTTGTTTAAGTGTTTTAGGTTAAATCTGGAACGATAATTTTGCTTACCACCTAGGTTATTACTATAGGTGGTTGAAAAATAGAGAGAGAAATTACGGGGCTAGAAATAGGGAAAGCACAACAAACCGAAACATTTGCGAACAGCTACTCAGGGTTTCTTCGGAGAGCTAGGCCACAGATAAGTAAATGACAAAGGGATTGAAATGGGGTATACAAAAATGAAACAAACAGGGGTACTAACATGAATCTCCTGGACAAACACAATACAAGAAGGTTCTTAAGCTATTTAAAATAAGGACGCCGCTTGGAATAATCTTCCTGCTGGATGAAAGAAAGGCTCTTCCTTTCTAAAAAATATAAAAAAAGGGTTAGAAACTTTTTAAAATAAATAGTATTCTTTTTTAGGGAAAAAAGTTAGATATTTATTGTTGTCTCAACAAAAATAACAACAAAATAACAAAAAACAAACTTACTATGTTATTATCGGTTTACGAACTCTAGAAGTTGAAGAACTTACAATTGTTAATGGGCTATATTTTTGTAGCAGAAATAAATTATTACAAATGAAAAATATCTTTTTAAGTGGATCTATGCATAGTGGTTAACCTTTTTTTAGAAAAAAAAACAAAACAAGATCTCAATTATGATTAGGTATGTGTCAATTGTCATAAAAATAAAGCCAGCTGTCAGATGTCAATATTAAATTTTAAAACTTTGAGAATAATTAATATGATAGCTAGGCCACACTCTAATATTTATAATTTCACTTATTACAATTTCTCAACTTGTCATGAAAGCAATTATTGATGGAGAATATCTATTTTTACTTTAAAAGTTCAACAAAAAAGTTACCTGAATTTTACTAAATGTTATTTTTTTTCCTTTAAAATTTCTGTGGTTGGAACTGGTCTCGAATTCACGGCAACGTAAAAACTGCATCTCACACTGCCAAATAGCCTGAAGTGACTTGAGACAAACAAAATTAGGATGGAGGCTGGGCACTAGGATGCAATCTTTGGAACTTAGCTTCTTAAAAACTCAGACACCCAAGTCAGTTCCTAATGGAACCATGTGGGTATCCTTCTAAGTTGTTGGAAAAGCCGTTTTGCAAATATTTTAAATGAAAGACGGCACGAAACAAAACAGTGACTAATTCCGCGAAAACGGACACATTACATACGAGTATAATCTCTTCCAAAACTTAATTTGACCTTGCCTTAGTTTGTGTACCGGCTTCCACCGTTTTGCTCACCCGCTACAAGCCGAAGGGACTAGCCAATCGAAATTCTTTTTTAAGGACGTGTTCTACATTTGGTATCTGACCTTCATCATTCCTAACTTTTAAAATTGCAGAAATAAGACGTACCTAATATCAACGAAATATAATCATATTTTTACTTAGTAGTTAAAATTCGAATTTTTCTTCGATGTCTTCAGACGTTTATGTCACAATATAAACAGAAACTTAGCGAAATTTTAAACATAGCTCAAAAACGTACCAAAAAAATTCTATACTTTGAATATTCGATGGTTATAAGAAATTTATTCATGCTACACATCTTTATATTTTGTGTTTAGGTTTCTCCAGTTACTATATGGACAATTATTAATGAAATACCCTGTATACATTAGTAAGTTTAATAAGTTTTATTATAGAAATTATAGCAAAAATAATTTTAGCCTCAATTACTCTTTATTTTCAAAAAAAAAAATGGGAAATAAAAGATAAAATATCTCTAACAAACAGCATTTTTAATAAAAAAAAGCGAGCTTAACTAGTTACTACTACATATTTCAGTATGATACAAATACTATAAACAAACGTACGTTTTTACAAAATACATAAAACGAATTTTTAATTTATTTCCATCGCTTGTCAAAAAAGCTAATATTTCAATTATTTTTTATGGTTAAAGCTGCATTCCCCTATGAATCTTTAAATAGATTGACGATTTTTATTTGCACAATAAAAAACCGATTTTTTTGTGTCAGTATTCGTTTAGTTCGAGTGAAAATAATTGGTTAAAAAATTCAATGCAAATCAAATGAGCCGTCGAGCACGCTTTCAACAAATGCGTGGTTAGCTAA